TATGAGTTTCAGAAGTGCAGCGGATAGCTGTTAAATAATATGAGAGCAGTTAGCTCTTTTGTCTGTAAGCCTTATGATAATGAAGCATGTACGACGAATAATGTTAAATTAAAGTTATAAACTATGCCTTTGAGGTGTCTATTTGTGAGTTGGGTAGAACAATACACCAGGTTGGTGACAAAAATTGGCGACGAGGATGTGATCCATTGACTAGTGCAGTGGACCGAAAAAAACTTTGGAAAACATTATTTACTATGAAAAATGATAATCGATGTCGGATGATAACTCTGATACAAAAAATAGACATTAATACTTATCAACGCACTATTCATGAGAATCAAGATAATAGTGAAAGTGGACAATCAAAACAAAAGATGAGTGAAGATAAATTAACACAATAAATTGGAACTGTAAGTGAAATGAATACTAAAGTGATACTACTCAATGAATCAGTACTAGACAAAATGATGTCATTCAAAATGTTAGTGAAATGAATGCAAAATTAAGTGATGCGTTTCAAAATCTTATGAAGGACAAGTCATTAACTGAAAGCGGCAGTAAAAATAGAGAATCTACTCACCCTTCTAATACTCAGAGTACTGGTACATTTGTAGGACAACATAATAACCAAACTGTGCCTATATACAGGGCATTTGAACAGCATAAACTTCATTGTGTGCTACATAAAATATCTTTTTCTGGAACAATTCAAAGTGATGGACATTTTATCCACTTTTTGTAATTGTTTGAGGAGGAATGTAGAATAAGGAAAATTTTAATGAGTATTAAACCAAATCTGTTCATGATGCATATGTATTGAGCCTGCACGTTCCTTGATTAGATCTGCTGCTAAGCAATGGGAGTCATGGCCATTATTCAGAGATGAAGTCATAAAGATGGAAGCTTATAAAGCATATGCTTGTAGGGCACTTGCAAATATTCAAGAAAAAGACAATGAAAAGTATTGGACTTTAATGGATAGGATTAGAAGCCTATCATATCAAGCTTATAGTCATGAAGATCAGTTTGATGATGAAGGGAACTTGTCTATATCTCCTTCAAGTGAAATGTCCAGCAGAATAACCGATAAATTCATTTAATGTATACGAGATAGAACCTTAAAAGCAGTTATAATTGCAGAGCCGAGCAGGGAACCAGGATTGACGAAGGACCCTGATTACATAGCAAGGTTTGCTGACTAATCTACTCAGTATTTGAAATTTGTTGGTCCAGAACAAGAACCTAATTCTAGTAAAGTCAAGTCAAGACATCAACAAAATAGTTATTAGACTAACAACATTGATATACGACAAAAATGGAGAGATTCTGGACGTGACAGAAAGGATCAACAACACCGTAGAAGATTTTATGAAGATGTGAGATCACAGCAGAAACGTTATGTTAACTCTAACAATTATGAAGTGGAAGAAAAGGCAAAACTACAATGTTATGGATGCTATGGGTATGGTCATTATAAAAACGAATGCCCCACCGTGAAAAACAACCACATACTTATGATCATAAACAGGATAAAAATGTCGTGATATAACTGTGGCATATAGAAGATGGCAAGAGCAAAATTTGCCTGAAGTAACATTGAAAAAAGATAAAACAAAATTTTCAGTAGCCTCTGAGCACACTTTGCCTGTCATAGGGTCTTTTACTGCTGTAATTATGTTTCCTTGTAGTGATACCGTTTATACTCATAAAATAGTAGTGGCAGAAACTTAAATTGTGATTTGATAATTGGAACTGATTTTATTAGAAAACATGGATGCAATGTTGATTTGGGTAAAAATATATTTGTAGTGGAAACATGTCAAGTACCATTAATAGCGTAATTTTAGCTAGTAATAGCTTAAAATAGAGCCGAAAATAGAAAAGTGTGGACTTAAAATAATTTTACAAAATTTCTAAAATAGCGTCTAATAGCTAGCTATTCTCAAATATAATCCATTCTTCATAATAATTGCAAAACTAGCGTGATTTTAGCTAGGAATTGCTGAAAATAGCAGACTGGGTACTTAGAATAATTTCAAATATTTTCTATAAAAGCGCAATTTTAGCTAGAAATAGCTGAAAATTGAGTCGAAAATAGAAAATTGTGGACTTTAAATAATTCTTAAATTTTCTCAAATAGCGTCTAATAGCTAGCTATTCTCAAATATAATCCACACTTCATAATAATTGCAAAAATAGCGTCATTTTAGCTAGGAATAGCTTAAAAAAGAGCCGAAAATAGAAAAGTGTGGACTTAAAATAATTTTCAAATTTTTCTAAAATAGCGTC